CAGCCATGCCTGACCTCCAGTATGACTGGTCATGTGACAACAGGCCAGAGGCCTTTCTAAGAACATGCATGAATGGTTGCAAACATGCATCATTGTAAAGAAAAAAAAAAGTGCACACACATGAATGAACAAGCTCATGCACAAACACATGACTATAGAAGGCCTGGATCTGCCCACCGCCCCGTCACCTCAACCAGACACTTTTGGAAAGGAAACTGGACCAAAGACCAAAGACTGAGTTTATCTAACGGTAGGTTGCTGTTAGATAAATCTTCATGGATTTGTGTAACTGATTTTAATGCACGTTTGGGCGTCTAAATATGTGACATCAGCCTTCAGTTTGGCAGAGGTGAGCTCACCTTCTATATGACTTTGTCTTTAGACTCAGGGGAGGTCGGGTGTCAGACAATGGCTGATGGGAAACACTATCAGGGGTCAGGTTCACCAAATAATGCTGAGTCTCTCTGGGTTCTACACTCCAGGGGGTAAAACCTGGAGCAGGTCTGTGGATCTGCCCTGGTCAATGATACTGTGAAGCAGCTGATAGAGGACATGACGACATTTAAGGTCATGATCTGATGGACTGTGCAGCACGGCAGGAGACAAGAGCTAATTATTAGCAGTTGCTATGTTTTAAGTTTCCAAGCTAACTTTTAGCTATCTTTTAATTTTTCTAGAGCAGATTTAATTAATTTTTGTCTTATATTTTGTATATTCTTTTTTTGCTTAGCTTCTTTGGTTAAAATGAATTAACAATATTTTACTTTTCTGTTGTAAATAGTTCCTGACCAAAGCCTGACCTCAAGTAGCTTCACAGAAAGAGCTGAGAGCGTAAAGAAAAGTGAACGATTTCATCATTTCAGCTTTGTTAGAGCAGGAAGGTACAAAGTCTGGTTCGGGGGCCAATCGTGGCACTTGAACTGGGACTGTTGTTATCCACAACAAGGCATTCAACAGGAGCTGTGACTACTGTACCATAACACTAAGGCATAAACTCCAGCCCTGTAGGGGGCAGTGATGTGCCAAAAGTTTATATAGAAGCAGCAACGCATACACTAGGGATGGATGAACAGGGTTGGACGATGAGACCACATGACTTGGTTTGTTATTAAATTCTCAACAACAGATTAAATAAGAAGAATGTTTTGTTCAAATTGTGAAACAAAGTTTTGTTTTCACTGCAGATCTTCGAGCCAAATGAAAACATCTGTTTCTGTGGACATGGACACCAGCGCTAACGTTAGCCGCGACTTTGACAACACCCCATCGTTACTACACGATACGCAACACATCAGCCGTACCCTGAACTACCACCGGGGGAGCCGCAGGACCTCGGTGTATTTTTATATGACCAAATCTTCTCTCTCTCTGTGCAGAGACTTTTGACTCTGACGGTTTAATTGACGGAGTAGAGACGGTGTCCTGTAGGATTTAGAAACATCTCAGGGGACGGGAACTTCTTTTATTCCTTTATGTGGAGGGTGTGAAAGGGTGAGGAGGTCGTGCCCAAGGCTGTGTGACCTTGTAGGGCAGAGCTGAAGGCCGTGCCGTACGTTCCAGGAAGAAGTTGGCTGCTGCAGCACTGCAGACACTTACTAATAGGAAAATGCCACCTCCCTCTCTCTCTCTCTCTCCCTCCCTTTCTCTCTCTCTCCCTTCAACATAGTACAGTCCAGGAACATCAGAGGGCAGCAGAACATGTTCCCTCGTAAATCAGTTCTGCTGAGCGCACACAATCACCGAAATAACATTTATTTAATGGTCTGCACATCAACACGGGGTGTAGAGTTGCTCCCAGGCCTCGCTGTCACCTCACAAAACCGTGGCCACAACTATAACTTATCACAAGACGGGTGTCAAGACTTTTTTCCACAGGGGGGGTCATATCTGATTAAGTGAATTGCCCCGAGGTCAACTGCCAGTTATGTGAAGGATTTAAAGAAACTTGTCCACTAACGAAACGTGTTAAACACATTCAAACGTATTTGTAAAATTGTAAAATTTGAATTAAATTTAAGTAATTAAACATTTGCATTTTCATATGGTATTCAGAGCCAAAAGCATAAAATGTAAATACAACAAGCAATAAATAAAAACCGACCACATCACAAATAAATATTGACTTATTGCTTTAAATACTGAGAGTTAATACAGTGACTAAAACAGTAGCAACGGAAAGAAAAATACCAACAATTGACATGGCAAAAAATGGCGGTTAATACAGTGACTAAAACAGTAGCAATCGAAAGAAAAATACCAACAACTGACATGACAAGAAATGGCAAAAAAAAAACTGACAACCAAAAGTTTGGAGCAGGACTTTTGACCCATGAAAAACCGTTAAGGAAACAATAATGTCTTCCTACCTTTAACAGTAGTGGAAATCTGCCTTTTCTCTCCTTTAAGCTGTTTTTCGAAACTTTTCTGTGAAAAGAAAAAAAAAGTTATAACAAAAGTGCTTTAAGTTACATTTCTTCTTGATAGTAACAGTATATTAAGGCTATAAAACTGCAAAAAGAACGTTACAAATTGATTTATGTAGCCGTTTCTTTCTCGCAGAAAGACACGGCAGGAGGAGCTTCTCTCTACACGAACAACACTGACACCCTTTGGACATATTTGTCATTTATCAACCACGAATTAAAGGGCTCAACATTAATGTTAAACAACTTGTTTTATTACCTCTTTTTAAATATAGTTTTATTGCCCTGGTGATAATCAGTGTACCGTTGTTTGTTGCTAAGTTTTAGCTAAGCTAACTTTGTAGCCTTAGCAAACCTATTGGCTGAACTAATTTGAATATATTTCTACTTACTTATAGCTTTTTCTGGAATATTGTTTGTATTTTTGCATTTATGTAGAAATATCAAAATGGTAATACTGGTCTAATTTCTAGACACACCATTTTAAAATATATTTTATTTTAACTTCACTATCGAGTTTGTATTTGTTCGAGTACAAATACAAACTCGATAGTGAAGTTTTCTCATTTCTCATATTATTACCTATTATTAGACCAATTTTTAACTAACTTTTTTCTGTAGTTTTCTTATATTATTACCTATTATTAGACCAATTTCTAACTAACTTTTTTTTTAGTTTTTCCTGTAGTTTTCTCAGCATTGCTTTTCAGAATAATAACATTTATTATAAAAGACTTTTGTATAACTACAGCTCAACAGCATTAAATCAGAAATGTCATGTAAAACATTTTGATACTTAAATAGAACGTGACACTGTGCAAAAATAAAAATGTCACTTGCCTTTTTTCTGATGCCTTGCTCATGGTGAAACAAACATAGTGGTCGTGGTTAAGATCCCGGCTTGTTGACACAGCACCACCTGTGTGCTGCAGCCTTCCTTCAGAGACTGACCTCCACCTCCAGCAGCTCCGTCCACTAGACAAAGGCTGGAACTCGCTGACAGTTTGATTGTGTGTGTTTTTTATGTTGGTGATGGTGCGCACGTGCGTGTGCGTGAGAGTCAGAGAGAGAGAAAGAGAGAGAGAGAAAGGGGGAGGGGGGTTAGTCAAAGGGAGGCACAGACACCCACTGTGGTATACATTTACAGTGTACTGTAGTCTACTGTACAGTAGTTTGAGGAGATACAGTAGTTTAACTCCTCAAACTACACAACTTGACAATAAAAAGTGAGATGTTAAAATGGTCACAGTAGAAAACAGAAAGTATAGAATTAATCTGAAATGTATTAGTGATAACAGTGAATAAACTTCCCCTGCATTTTACATTCAAATTAATTGTTTGTTTTTGTATATTTTTACCCTTTTTGTTCAAAAACGTGGTTCTTACTGGCCAAACTTTTAACCATCTTTGTCCTTAATTTTACTATTGCTGCTGCAAGATGATTGTTTTGCAGAAAAGGCAGCTAATTTTAATAAATAAATAAACCAGTCAAACCATCAGTCAATCTATTTCATGAAAACTGTTTGACAAATTTTTTGTTGTTTGTTGTTTAATTTAAGTCCCTTTTTTCTCTATTGATAAGATTTCTGTTAACATTTATCCATTTCCCTGTTGTTAATTTTATCGACTTCTTTTCCCATATGATGTTCTACTTTTTTTTTTTTTTTTGCTGCACCCACTTTACAATGCGTGTGATGTTCTACAGCCACTCTGTACTTTACAACCTCAGGTTAATAAAATGCACAGATCGAGGTGATTGTGATGAAAAACGCTGCGTATGAGACCGTGGGGGGAGTCAAACACCTGTAATGGAGACTTTGTGAATAATTTATAAAGAACTTGTCCCAAACAGAGTTTTATTAATGACTGTGCTGCTGCTGCTGCAGTGAAAACAAACACCTGTCCCCAAGTTCACACCGGTGTCACACATGCACCATCTGCTTCTGCCATCTTTAATAAAACCACCGTGGTCTGATGCACAGATGATAGGAAAACAACAGAAATGACTGTGCAGCAAAAAAAAAAAAAAAGAAAAGAAAAAAAAGAAGTGAAAAGTATAAATATATCATATATAAATTTCCACCAGGCTAAATTAAGGTCATTTGGGTAGAATATTTATTGTAGAAAACTACTCTAAAACCGTCACCAAATAATTTTAGCTCGTTTGTTATTGTTTCAGTTATTGCTAAGTTAACTCTGCAAAACAAAAAACAATGAAAATAAATATGATAATATGGTTCCATAGTTTAGCATTTAGCACGCTTACCTCGGAAGCAGAGAGCTGGCAGTCCTGGTTTCGATTCCCAGAGGAACACATACAGCCTGTTGCAGCAGTTCTGCTGTTAACACAAGATTTCCCAGGTGTGGGATCCACAAAGTCCACGTTATTATTATTATTAAATTAAAAGTTGGCACAAGGTTTAAATATAAAAAAAAAGCTAAAAGCTGGCTCAGAGAGGATAGATAGGAGACCCACAGAGGCACAAATGGGATCCTAAACAAAGTTAGAATATTAGCAGACATGTTATAGAACAGGCACCTGTGTGGAAAACAACAGATAAATACCCACCACCTGTGTAGAAGTAAACAAAGTTGTTTATTTATTCAGAATAAAAAAAAAGGCCAGCATCAGTGACGTAGCAACATTCAGACATTTGTACATGTAAAAATGCTAACAGTATAGATATGTTTTGCACTTTCAGCTTATTATCTCACCTCTGAATGCTTCTTTAAAATGACCAAGGTTTTAATTTACAGGACAGTGTACATAAACATTGGACTGCAGCACGATACGTTTAAAAATAGCACCGTTCTCCAACATCTGCTTCCTACTAGTATTCAGTTTTGCAATAACTCAACAGACAGTTTGGATTATTTTGCTATGCTGGAGACACGGAGACACACACACACACACACACACACACACACACACACAGACACGCAGGCGTACCTAATAATCAGGAATAGCTTCAAAAACATCAGCACTGCAGATGTTTTTCCAGGAACCTAGAAACTAGTGCGTTCAGAGAGTCAAACTCTCACCTCAGTAACAGTTAGCATTTGTAGCATATTTAAACTGGAACCAATGGGTTTAACTTTAAAATAATAATTTATCAATTTATAATTTATAATAATTTTACCAATTTTCCTGTTCCAGGGTCTGGGGGCGGGGGGTTACCCCTTTGACAGTCGCCCAGTCCAGGACTGGGTCACACACAGAGACAATGTTAACAACCATTCACACTCACATTCACATCTTTGATGTATTTTGATTGAATATTATAGATTAAACATAAACTTTTACAGTACCTGAAAAAAAAAAAGATTCAAAGGCACAAATGCTCACCACACCTCCAAAATGTGGTCCGAATGACAAAACTGACTCCTTATTTAACCATGTATCATCATACAATACCCCTGCTTTTCAGAACAAAAAAAAAACAAACAAACAAACAAACAAAAAAAACATCCCACAGATCTTGCCACGCATGTGGCACTCTTTCGAAAATATTACAATCACATGTGGGTTTTATTCAACGATGCAACCAGTGCAGCTGGGGTTTCTCTCTGTCTCTGTTTCTGCTTCTCTGTGTTTGGCCATAAAATCTTCCAGATTTGCAGAAACGTGACTTGTGTGCTTTGGAAAATGAAAAACAGAGACTGTGGTTCAGTTTTTCTCTGCTAACCAGTGTCCAGGTTTAAAGAGTTGGAGTGTGTGAGAGAGAGGGCTGAGGGAATGTCAAAAAGAATTTAAAAGAGTACAGACAACAAAGCACGACAGGAGAGAAAAGCCGACACCCTGTGTGAGTGACACCTGAAACGTCCAATAAGCATATAAACTGACCTATTTGTTTAAAAAAACTATGACTTGTGTTGGATGTGTCCATTGCTTATAGACACATCGAACACATTTCAAATATCAGAGGTTTGTAGAGGTGAGAACTAATCCTGGATCAGATGAAACAGGTCTGAACTGAGATGTCTGAGGTCGAGTTAGAATCAGAGCCAACGATGAGGTCATGACTGCACTGACAGCAGATACAATGAAAAAAAAAAAACAACAAAACAAAACAAAAGACATCATGGTTTGTGTAAAATGGAGCTTAAGACAGAAGACAAATTTTCCCCCAGTGTGAGAACGTACTTCATCCCAGGTGCTTGTGTTGATGTTTTTCGTAGTCGACCGCATTGTTGGAATTGGTACCTGTGAGAAAACAAGCCAAAGGAAACGACGTCATCACATCAGTTCAGATGTGACGACGAAGAAAGATTGTGAAGAATTTTCAGTTCAGATTACCTTTACTTACCTAAGTAATCCTTGTAGTCCTTAAAGTATTTGTGCCTCAATCCACGGCCATCTGTAATGAAAACCACAATCACAAATATTTCACTGATCCCCAGGCAGAAATCGTCAGTGCTACAGCTACAAAAATAGCACAAATAAATACTTTAAATAACCATGTTAAAAATATTTAAAAAACGAGCTAGATATAAAAATAATCACAGATTAATCAACGTTCTTCATTAAACACGGCACAAAATGTAGTATAAAAAATATATGTATTAAGGGTTGGTAAACTTTATAGTTATATTTTCATAATTCACAACAGGCGGAAACGCTTCTTGATAATCTGTATTCAACGTAAACATAGCCTACAGCTAGCATAATCCACACAAAACAGTAAATGTACCAGTCGCTACGGCTAACTCTGCTGTTACATATTAACGTAAGGCCTTTACCCTCATCCGCCATGTTGGCGCTGTGAATACAACGACACAAACAAACGTAACGCTTGTAAGCACATTTGGAGGGAAAACTTCAGTTTGAAACCTGCGCCACCACAGTTTGTTTTAAAATAACGATTTGCGTGTAAAAACACAAACGTATAGATGTCGGCTACTAACATTTCTACTTCTGCGACGTGTTTCAGTCATTCACATTACAGAGCTCGCCCACGTGAATCGGTATTTAATGTAAAAATGTCCGACTATTTTCACTTCCTGGTTTGAAGCGGAAGTGGCCGCCATCTTGGACAGCGATATACGGCAACTCTACTAGGACAATCTTCACGAGAGTTGAGTTGCAGGTTATACTGTATATACACAAAATTCGCTGAAAGAGCCAGAGTGGAACGCATTAGATTAGAGATTAGAGTAAATCTAAATGTGAGACAGATCCAGGAGTT